AAGTGAATACCATCCAGGTTTTTGAGTTTTAGTGTTTACTGTTGCCTTTAAAAAGTTCATTAAAGGAGAAGTTTCATACTATTGCATGTTTTTCTTCAAGTGGGAATGTGTTAGATTGTATTTCATATATATATTTAAATATAAATTTATGTTATAAAATCAACCAGAAAAATTGTCTTTGGGTTTCAGAAATAGGTTTAATGACTTGTTTAAACTTTTTGCTTTGAAATTTTAAGGATAACTCACTTGCGGAGTCTGTATTAGACTGGAAAAAAAATTAAACATTTTTAATGACTTGGTGACTTATAATTTAATTATCTTTTAGCTCGATTTAGTTTAATTGATAATTTAGGTGCAAAACAATATACTTAATATGATCTCATTTTCATCTTAAAAAGTAACACCAAGGGGGGAACGGTGGCATGCACCTGTAATCCCAGTTATTTAGGAAGCAGAGGAGGGAGGATAGCTTGAGCCCAGGATATGGAGGCTAGCCTGGGCAACATGGTGAGACCCCATCTCACCATGGAGAAGGAAAGTAACATGTTACTATATGTGTGCAAAAAGGAATCTAGACTGATGTACATCAAACTGTTAACTGCAGTCATCTTAATTAGAATAGTAAGAGGAAATTACACATACTAGGAAATTTGTGTTCTTTTAAAGGACCTATAATGGTTGTGGACTTACATCTTCCAAGCATGATAAAACTTCTTTTTTTCTACTTCATATTAGGAGTTATTACAAAGATTTTTAAACACTTGTTTGTATTGGACTATAACGAGATTTTATTTGCCCCATGTCACAGTCTGTGTACATTACGTGAGAGTGCTCTCTCTTTGTAAAATGCTTTGAGATCAGCAGATAAAAGATCCCATCTAAGTGCAAACCTTCATTGTAATTGTCTTCCTTGGACAGTAATGGTGTTAATAGCTATTTCTGTCAGTTAATGAACATTTCATTGCAAGAATTTATTGATTAAAAAAGGTAAGCTGAACATTTCTAACTATAGCAGTATCTATGCGGAAGTTTGTCAGATACTTAACACAGGAAAATGTTCTAATTTTCATCACCCCAATTGATTGTGGTGATGGTTGCCCAACTCTGTAAAAATATCTTAAAAATCATTGCATTGTAACTTAAAGTGAGTGAATTATATGGTGTGTGAATTGTATCTCAACAAAGCTGTTATAAAAAATAATAAACTTAAGATGGAAAAAATAGCTGTTGATAATCAAGGTTTTATGTCAACAATTACAGCACACTTGAGAGAAGATGACATTTTAAAATTGTCATTATAGCTTTTAATTCTGTTATTTCTGTATTAAACATTTGACTTACTTATTATTTTTTTCCTTATTTTTATTAGAAAGTTAATCTATGCTAATTATCCCACTTCCCAGAGCTAATGTGCTATTAATAGTTTGATTGCTGTATACACCTTCAGATTCTTTTTCTATATGTGTATATGCAACATTGCTTTTTTTAGTGAAAATGGAATCGTGTACAGTTTTGTACCTTTTTAAAACAGCTTTATTGAAGTATATTTTATATATCATAAAATCTACTTATTTTAAGTGCACAATTCATTCATTGATTTTTAGTAAATTTACTGAGTGGTACAGACATCATCATAAATCAGTTTTAGGACATTTTTATCCCCCCGATAATTAGATCCCTTATGCTTATTTACAGTTAATGCTCTTTCCCACTTTCAGCCATAGGAAACCACTAATCCACTTTCTTTCGCTGTAGATTTGCCTATTCTGGACATTTTGTATGAATGGAATTATACAATATGTGGCTTCTTGTTTCTGGCTTCTTTCATTTAGCAAAATATTTATGAGGCTCATCCATGAAGTAGCACGTGCCAGTAGTTTGTTACTTTTTATTGTTAAATTGTGTTCTATTGTATGGATGTACTTCATTTTGTCTATTCACCAGTTGGTAGACATTTAGGTTGTTGCCAACATAAGGTTATTTTTGGCTATTATAAATAATTGCATCCTGCTTTTTTTTTCCCCACTGATAATATATTTGGGCAGATTTTTAAAATTAGTACTTAAAAATCTGCACTTTTTTTTTTTTTTTTTTTACTGCAGGAGTCTTTTAAAAAACACTATTTTTCGTTGTAAGATATATACTGTCATTTATTTATTTAACCAATAATGTTTATGGATGTTTTGAGTTTCTGATTTTTCACTATTATAAACAGTACTGTAGTGAATATTCTTCCACATTTATCTTTGTATATGTGTTTTTGTGATATAGATTCTAAAAATGGAATTGCTGGATCAAAGGGCAGGAACATTTACAGTTTTTTAATAAAACATTGAAGACCACAAGGCACTTTTAGACATAATTTGTTAATAAAGGCTTATTGTCAAGTTATTTGTACTTTTATGTTTTTGTAATTAGCCAAGGAAAAGCAAGTTCTCCTTGCTTGGCCAGGGATAGTGGCTCATGCCTGTAATCCCAGCACTTTGGGAAGCTGAGGTGGAAGGATCAGTTGAGGCCAGGACTTTAAGACCAGCCTGAGCAACAGAGTGAGACCGTCTCTCCAAAAAATAAAATAAAAATTAGCCTGATCTGGTGGTGCACCCTTATAGTCCCAGATACTTGGGAGGCTGAGGCAGGAAGATCACTTGAGCCCAGGAATTTTAGGTTGCAGTGAGCTATGATTGTGCCAGTGCACTCCAGCCTGGGTGACAGAGACCCTATCTCTGAAGGGGGAAAAAAAAAAGGGAGGGAAGGGAGGGAGGAGGGGAGAGAAGGGAGAAGGGAAGGAGAGGGGAAAGGGAAGCGAAGGGAGGGGAAGGGATGGGATGTAGTGACATTTTTTGACCTCAAAATTAAGGAATTCCCAAATAAGAAGAAATAACAAATGGATTTGTAATCATCCAGGGGGTTTATGTTTAACTGTTAAGTAATTCTTATGCATCACAAGCCCTATTAGGATGAGTTTTCCTTTTTTTCCACCTGAAGACCTGAGAGATGGAGTAGCTAGTACTGTTTCCTAAGGTATATTATATTACTGTTACTATATTACTATTACTATATTGTATAAAAAACAAATGAACCTCATTCCTTCTACTGAAAATTCCTAAGTAATATGCTGTTCGGATATCTGAATTTTCCGAATAAATAGCTTATTCCTTCAAGGACTTCTTAATCAGAACACAGATTGCTGAATGTAACTTAACCTTTTCTTAATTGCTTAATGTTTACAGTACTGTAACATTGAAATGCCCAGGACCTTGTTGTCCCAATAACTAGATGGCCATCATCTTGTCTCCTTTTTTTAAAAAAAGATTTTTTTGTTCATTCTCTTGTAAGCTTGGCAAATTTCTTTCTTCTAATAGTCTGTGTGCCTTTTGATAGCCCTTTACTTCCAAACCTTTTCTAATTTTCCCTTTAAGTATTTGTGACTCACATTGGGAACACAGGTAGTCTGACTTGTTAGAATTACATGCCCATGAGAACTAGTAGGTGTCAGGTGAGAACCTTAAGGCATGAGAGCCTCGGATTTTATGGTTTTAGATTTCAGGTTTGTTTCTGGTTTGTTTGCTTATTTCAGGGTTCCTGACAATATTATAGGATTTGGTGGGTAGTCTAGTCAGATATATGTAGTTTCTGTATTGTAGTCATGTAATAGAATGCCTTGGAGGATTCAGGCCCTTCATTTTTTGTCTATATGTAATTTAATTTACTTATTTGCGTGATACTATTTTTGCTTGCTGTAGGCAAGTGATAATGGTTACCTCAAAGAATATTCTTATTTTGGCTGGAATAAATTTGCTTGAAAAACCTAGCATAAATTAAAAGCTAAAGTTAGATAATAAATATTTTCTTTTTCTTAAACATGGAAAGGTGCAGAAGCCAAATGGAAATATTTGTATTCACAAGAGACTATGGCTTTATGTTATATTCTTCTTGATAAATGGAAATGGGTGTTCAAAATGCTAAGGATATTGTTTATATTATCTCATTCTAGATATGACATTTTAATTTGTTGTGTATATGATAAACTAATAGCTTGCTATATTAGCTGATGAGGTTATTAGGGATCACTTGGACATAACAAGAAGTTCTTTGTTTTCTGTTATTGGAAAATTGTGGAAAAAATTAGGTTTCAGATTGTATAACACTTGGTCATGTTATCACTTTTATGTCCAGCAAATATATTCAATTCTTCATTGTTTCATTTTCACTGAAGAAAAATGAAAACTGCTAATGGTAAAGAGAGCTGTTAAGCTTAGTTTATTAATTGTTTATTATTTCACCTAATAAGTTGAAGTTTGTTATCTTTGTTATGTTTTACTAATTTAGAATTTATAAACAACAATTAAGGTTTTCTAGGATTATGTAGTGACATCGTTCTATTAATTTCCCTGTAATCAAATTCTAGCAAATAGCCTGTTACTTCTCTTTTGTTAAAATTTTATCCCTTTTCTCTCTTCTCAAGTTGTTTACTGAAAGAATAATGATAAGTATTTTGTGATGTTCCATGCTTATATGACTAGTATGTGACTAGTACTTGACTCTTGACTGTCTTGACTCTGAAATCAAGATTTAGTTATTTTAAAGCACAAACTCTGCTGGGTTAAATAATCAGGAATCCCTTAATCTGTGTTAAAAGAATTGAAATGGGATTTGGTAATGTGTTTAAAAAGGTCCATGTTTATCTTTTCTAAATTATCTGCATGTTATTCACTAAAGTTTCATACTTAATTTCATTAATTGTACCCTTATGGGTGATTATAGAATATGTGCATATGTGTGTGAATGTATGTATGTGTATATATAGTAAATTATAAACTTTATCAGAGCAAGTTATAACTTTGATACAGTTTAAAATAATAGTGTAAATAAAAATCATTAAATTAAGGAAAAAGAGCTCACCTGAGCATAAGAATTTCATATAGTTAGTGTAGGGTTATTATATTCTGAAGTCATTTTTAGCTGTTTTTTGTTAAACTAATAATCTTTTTAAATTTTAGGGGGAAAAAAATAGTGGCTTTGATGTCCTCTACCATAATATGAAACATGGACAGATATCGACAAAAGAACTAGCAGATTTTGTAAGAGAAAGGTATGTATTTTTTATTAGTAATTTGTTTAACAACTTAATAGCAATTTACATTTTAGACTATAAATGAGAAATTTGTATTTGGATTTGGAATAAAGTAATGAATGCACACTTTTAAAAGGTACAAGACAATTATATTTTAAAGTAGTAGTTATCTGTCATCTATGCACGTGAGAGCTATATAGTGACTCTAAATGACATTGTTAAACTCCTGATTTGCAAATTATTGCTTGAAAATATTATCTACATATTTTCCATTGAATGTGCTATCAAGGTGATACAACTAAAAAAGGAATGTTTTAGGATAAAATATTAGCATTTCTTTAAAGAAAAATGCAAAAATAATTTGAAAAAACTAAAAACTAAGTTTTCTGAACTTTGGTTTAATTATGTATTTGATAACTTTTAATTTAGATAGTCCTAAGTATATATTTTTAAATCTTGGAAATTTATAAAATGCAATTGTCTTTAAGACTCTTAGAATATAAGTCAATTTAAACACTATTAAAAATCAATATAACTTGATTATGATTCAAAATCAAACAATTCAAAGCTACTGTACTACTTCTTAAAGCCATTTTGTGTCTAGCCCCGCTTAGTAATTGTTTATATGAACACATTTAAAATCTTTACCTTGATAATGTAGGGATACTTTGCCTTTAAATACAATACTCCTTTCATTTATTTAATTCATTTTTTAAATTAATAAATTTTTCAGAGACAGGGTCTTGCTATGTTGGCCAGTCTAGTCTCAAACTCCTAGGCTCAAGCGATCCTCTTGCCTCAGCCTCCTGAGTAGGTGGAATTAAAGGGGTGCACCACCACAACTGGCTCTCATTCTTTTATTCTTTCCATAATATATGTCCCATGTGTGCTGTGGGACAGACACTTGTCTGTATTATGGGAATACAGTGGTTAAGATACAGCTTCTCCCTTCATGGAATTTCCAGACTGGTAGGAATTGGGCAATAAACTATTCCACATGAGACCAGTCCTCTTGTTTCCACCTCTCTACCAAAGTCAAGGAGGAGTCCAAAAGCTATAAGTGCTCTGGGTAAGGCTATCCCTACCTTAGCTTCTACATTATTATTGGCAGGAGTAAAAGAGAGGCCCCAGAACTCTGCGTCTCCTGGCATGACCCCTAGCCTTTCCTTTTCCCCAGCATTTACCTCACTACTCTCACTGTCTACTTTGGGACCATCAGGACAGATATCCTTATGCCTTTTAGCCCTGTTTGTATCAGTCACCATAAGGAGCCCAGGATTCCTGAGTCATCCTTTCTTTGCCCAGAATCTAGCTAGCCCTTTCTGATTCCATGGGCAGTGAGACAACCCCTCCTTTCATTCTTCCTTCCCTCCTTTATTTTTCTTCATAGTACTTATAACCGTCTGATATAAGTGGTATTTTACTTATTTATTTTTCTGTCTCTCCCCACTAAAATATAAACCCTACAATGGCAGGGATTTTTATCTTTTTTGCTTATTTTGTCTTTTCACTCTATCTCCTGTGCTTAGTATAGTGCTTGGCACTTGGTAGACCCTCAGTAAAGATTTTTTGATAGAATGAATCTCTAACTTCGCTGTGGTCATCCAAACTATCATTATATTTGCCTGAACTTAAGCAACAGCTCCTAACTGGTCTATCTACATTCACTCTTGTTCTCCTGCAACTTATTCTCTGTACCGTAGTTGGAGTGCTTTTTTTGAACTACAGTACAGATCAGTTTGTTACATTTTCTGTTTAAACCATTTCAAGGGCTTTCCATTGCTCTTAAGATAGGCCTGCACTGTCGGACCCCTGACTACCTTTCAAGCCTTATTGTGCCAGGCTCTGCTAGGTGCTGGGACACAACAGAATGTTGTTTCATAGAGGAAAACAGAAACAAATAACAAAAATGAATAATAAAAAATTTTATAAAGACTTTAGAGATACATGATGTACAGGCTCCTCCTTATTCCTTCCACCTCAGAGATATTGGTCATTTTGTTGACAGGCTTTTTCCAATCTAGGCTTTGTATGTACTTATTCTTCTCTTCACCTAGTTAGTGCCTACTTATTCTTTGGAGCTTAGCAGTGTGCTTGCTGCTCCATGGATATTTTTCCTCATCTCTCTGACTAGGTAAAAAACACTTACTGTAATCTCTCTCAGTATAATATGTCTCTTTGTAGTATTTATAAAATTTTGTAATTATTCATTTTTGTTATTTGTTCTTATGTTCCCTTGTGAGACAATCTCTGTTGTATCCCAGTGCCTGGTACAGAGCCTGGTACAACAGAATAGTCACATTTATTGAAGGAGTGAATGAGACAGAAAGGGAAAAAAGGTAGACTTTTAAATATGTCCTGTACATGAAGGACTTTGCTACATTATCTCATTTGCTCTCAAAATTCTAAGTCCCATTTCATAAATGAGAAAATTGGGGTCAGAAAGGTTAAATACCTTCCTAAGTCAGTCATTCAGACTGACTTTCTCTCCTTCCTCCTCTTCTCCCTTCTACTCTTCCTTTCTCCTCCCTTCTTCCCTTCCTCACTTCCTCCTAACAACTTTATTGAGGTATAATTGTCATACAATAAACTGCATATATTTAAAGTGTATAATTTGATACATTTCGACATAGGTATAGTTTTTGAAAACCATAACCACAATAAAAATAGTGAACATATTCATCATCTCCTTTGTAATCCCTCCTTTTTGCCCTTCCCTATCTCCCCATCCGTAAGCAGCAACTGGTTTGTTTCTGACACTTAGGTTAGTTTGCATTTTCTAGAATTTTATATAAATGGAGTCCTACAGTACATATTAATGTCCAGCTGCTTTCACTTAGTATAATTTTTCTGAGATTCACCCTATTCCTTTTTACCGTTGAGTAGTATTCCATTTATGGATGTACCACAATTTGTCCATTCATCTGTTCAAGGAAGTTATATCTATTTTTTGAACTTTGTATGAACTATACATCATTTCATTCATATGGTAGATATTCTTTTGTCTGAATCCTGTTGTTTAATACTGTTTGTGAGTTTCATTTGTATTTCTGAGTTTAGCTATAGTTCATTTATAATGCTGTTTATATTAAATTGTATAAATATATCCAAATGTGTTTACTACTGTTGATGGATATTTGGGTTGTTTCAAGTTTTTTTAAATACTGTTTTTTTTAGAGCAGTGTAAGGTTCATAGCAAAATTGAGAGGAAATCCCAGAGATTTCCCTTAGTACAGTGGTCCCCAACATTTTTGGCACCAGGGACCGGTTTCAGGAAAGACAGTTTTTCCATGGACTGGGGGTGGGGTGGTAGGGATGGTTTCAGGATGATTCAATCCATTATATTTATTGTATACTTCTTTTTTATTATTATTATATTGTAATATATAATGAAATAATTATACACTCACTATATTGCAGAATCAGTGGGAGCCCTGAGGTTGTTTTCCTGCATCTAGACAAATCCATCCGGGGGTGATGGGAGACAGTGACTATAAATGCAGATAAAGCTTTGCTCCCTTGTGACCCCTCACCCCCACCGTGAGCTGCGTGGCCTGGTTCCTAATAGGCCATGGACTGGTACTGGTCCATGGCCCAGGGGTTGGGGACCACAGCCTTAGTATATCCACTGTGCCTACACATGCATAGCCTCCTCCATTATCAACATCCTCCACCAGAGTGCTACATTTGTTACAAATCATGAACCTACACCAACACGTCATAATCACGCCAAGTCTGTAGTTTACTTTAGGGTTCACTCTTGGTGTTGACATTCTGCGAGTTTGGAGGAGTAAGCATATAATGGCATGTATCCATCATTATAGTAGCATACAGAGTATTTTCACTGTCCTAAAATTCCTCTGTACTCTGCCTATCCATCCCTCCCCAGCCCCTGGCAACCACTGATCTTTTTACTGTCTTCATAGTTTTGCCTTTTTCAGAATGGTCATATAGTTGAAATCATACAGTATGTGGCCTTTTCAGATAGGCTTATTTCACTTTTTAATATGCATTTAAGTCTGTTTATGTCTTTTCATCAAATTTATTTCTTTTTAATGCTTCATAATATTCCATTGTCTAGATATACAACAGTTTATCCATTCCCCTACTGAAGGACATCTTGGTTGCTTCTAAGTTTTGGAAATTATGAATTAAGCCGCTATAAACATCTGTGTGCAGGTTTTTGTGGGTCATAAGTTTTCTACTCCTTTGAGTAAATACCAAGGAGCACAATTGCTGTATCTTATGGAAAGAGTATATTTAATTTTTAAGAAACCAACAAACAGTTTTCCAAAGTGGCTGTACCATTTTGCATTCCTACCTGCAATGAATGAGAGTTCCTGTTGATCCACATCCTTACCAGCATTTGTCATTGTCAGTATTCTGGATTTTGGCCATTCTAATAGGTGCGTAGTGATATCTCATTTTAATTTACATTTCTTTGATGCCCTTTTGTATATATGTCTTGGTACACATATATACACATTTGTATTAGGTGTATGTCCTGGAGTAGAATTGTGAGGTTGTAGGGTATATATATGTTTTTAATACTAGTGAATCATGCCTAAGAATTTTCCAGGGTGGTTGTATCAGTTTATACCACTGCTATCCTTGTTTGAGAGTTCCAGTTGCTCAGTGTCCTTATCAACACTTAGTATTGTCAGTATTTTAATGTTTTAGCTTTTCTGATAGTAGTGGTATCTCAGGTATCTCATTGTGACTTTAATTTATATTTCTCTGTTGAGTTATAGGGTTAAACATCCTTTCATGTGTTTATTGGCCATTTGCATCTTTTTTTATGAAGTACCTGTTCATGTCTTACCCATTTTTCTGTTGTTTTTTTTTCTTTTAAAAAACAGATTGGAGAATTCTTTATATATTCTGAGTAAAAGCAGTTTGTCAGTTATGTGTTGCAAATATATATAAATGTCCTTTGTTTTTTATATATTGACTTTTGTGTCTAGCAACCTGACAATTGTTGTTTATTCTGATACTCTGTAGATTCTTTTGGATTTTCT